AACAAAATAACCGTATCCGATTGAACATTTGCCACCAATCGTCGTGAAATCTTTCTAACGAAGATACCACATGGACTGGGGAAATAAACGGGTGGGGGAAACATCGTTGGAAGATTTTGGCAACGGTCTGGAAACTGGTCGTGTCGTGCGGCTAATCGATCTCGAGACCGAACAACCTAACGAACTGATCGTGCGCGTGATCTTCCATCGGTCCTCCGGTTGAACGTCCACGGGAAACCGGAAGCCAAAGTTGATCGACCGCCTGCTATCTCGTCTGGCGAATTACGTAAGGAACAAAGGGCTGTCCCTCGAAAAACCGACGAGGGTCGTCGAACGATATCCTCTCGCCGCTGTGGGACATTCGATCGTTGGCGTTTCGATGTGTACAGATACGAACGAAGTAGACAACGAAGTAGACAAAGAACTAGCTTTAAACAATTACTAATATCCGATTTTTTGTAAGCTATTTAATATTGGCACCTAAAAAATTAACTGCTCCAAATTTTTTATGAATATCAATTATGTTATAAGCAATAATTTGCAGAGTTCTTGGTAATGCATAGAAAAATATATGAAAAAATTGCAATTGGTTTGCATCGCGAAGAAAGTAATCAAGATCCAGTCAATACCGATCAACAGCTCGATAGTTCGAGCGAGTCGCTTGGAGCGACTAAATTTAATCGACTAAAGTAGTCGACGATTGAAAAAATTAGTCGACTGAAAGTAGTCGTTGGTCGACTTAGTTGATGGTTTTTAGTCGATGGTGCGCATCACTACAAAGAACCTATTCTAGCCGCCCCCCTCTCGACAAAGGCTCGAACACGTTCCCGACATTGCGGCCATAGTCACGCCGGTTGCTTACCCTGCGAGAACGCCAACGACGTCGATGCTGACAGCGACGACGACAACCACTGCACGGCACCTTCAAAGCCTTCTGCAACAAACAAAAATTCCTCGTCAGTTGCGAAAGGCCGTAGAGCGTCGAATCGAATTCGACCCCCGATCGAACATTCGGTCTCGACCACAAGCATTTTATTCTATTGCAGTTATCGATATCGTCTCGCCCGATGGGAATCGAATACGAAAAATTCGGAAACTTTTCTGTCTATCCATGTACGTCAACATCGGTGCCAAATCGTCTTACACGTGGACACAACGTATACGGGACACGAATCCGCCGAACGATTTTTCCCACGGGAGAAAAATCACTGTACGCGCACTCGGTTGTTCGCATTTTCCCCGTCACGTTCGACGATTTCGCCAGAAGCTTCCACACCACAGAACGGAGAATAGTTCCATCCGTTCCTCCGTGGAACTGGTTTGGAAAAACTTTTATCCTCGAGATGGTAATCCACACAATCGCCCCGACAATTTCGTGTCTCCCTCGGGGAGTTTTACCATCATTCGATCGTTCGTTCAAAATTGTAAACACCAGCGATCCATCGTGGTCCAAGTCCCAAACGAATCTCGAGTGCCCACTCGCGTTCGATGTTTCGGGACTCGACATAGGTACACGTTAAACTCGATGAAGTCGATGAACAGGCGCTAACGAGTCGCTACACCGTGTAACGGTAAAGGAATTGACCGAAGAACCGGAGAAACGAGAGCGAGCCAACAACGGCGCCAGGGTTATTTATACCGAGACGACCTTTGACGATGTCGACGGCGACGCTCAATGAAAATCTTTCGCGCCGTGAACCAGACGCGGAAGAAGGGCGAGCGCGGGACACGTTCTTGGATCGCATGGCGCCGCGACGCCACCCTAAATGCCATCCCCCTCGGAACGTATCGTTTGTCAGCCAACCGTCGATCCTTCTTTAACGTGTCCCGCTGATGTTTCCTGCACGTTTGCTCTGGTAAAACGAACAATTCCATTTTCGTAGTTCACGAACCAACGACGATTGTTGGTATTCCATCGTATCGACGGTGTATCGCGTGAGGGTAACAAAACGATAACGATGCACGAAAGTAATCGTAACGACGCCTAAATTTAATTTTCGTAACCGGTGGGTGAAATTTTTACGAAGATTCGAACTTCACGTGACGAAACGATGCGCAATGAAAGCGAAACACCGGCAGAAACGGATGGGGAAAGCCGTGGCAGGGAATAGGAGTGGAAGAAGGTGGAGCAGGTATAAACGAAATTTAAGACGGCTTCCTTGGATTCTATCGCGAAGGATAAATGTCGCGTCGTTAGGAGCTAACGAGGAAAAGATGGCGACGGGGTGCGTCGAGTGCAGGGAGAGAAGAGGGGGCGAAAGATCGCGTGCCTCGTCAGCGAAAGCTCGATACTTAATTGAAACTGCCGACTAAGCGAGGCTTTCGCTTACGCGCCCCCGTGACTCTGCCCCGGCCATGGGACTTCCGGCTCTTAGATCCAACTAAAACCAACCCTATCCGACTTAAGATTTCGCCTGTCCGTTTAATAACCAAAAAGTTTTAGATGGCTCCGCGTCTGGGCGCTCGGTAAATTAATTGTATCGTTATGGTAGCAATGTTGTCTTTTTGCACAGCATATTACTATGCGATGATATTGAGGGTATTTCCCAATGTTACTGAATCAGCCCATAAACACTTTATTCTTTCATATTTTGCGATTAGTTTCGTTTGAAAATATTATAAAATAATCTTCAAAAAGTAACATAAGAATAATAATTTGCTCATTTTCAATAATAGGTACACGTGGATCGTGGCATCGAAGCCAATATGTTCGGAGATTAGAGACTTTGCAGAGCAAATACGAGCGGTAATCCTTTCGAGACGCCGATCGACGGCGACACGTTGACTCTCTATGTTTACACGAAAACTTTTCCTGCCAACTATCCCATCGATTCTCGGCCGTTCGGAGCCCGGCACGCCGCTCGAGATATCCGGAAGAAGTCGCCGGGAAAAATTCTCCAGGAAGAGATACGAGAGGAAAAGAGAATTTGTGAAAAGAGGCGAGACGAGGCAAAGCAGGGACGATGGTTAGCGACGAGTTGAACAAGCGGAGGAAAGGAGGATCAACCGAGCGAGAAAGAGCTAGAAAAAGTGGTTAAAGAGGAGAACAAGAGAGCTCCCGGGCATTGTACCAATTCGCGACGCTAATACGGCGACCCGTTCTAAAGACCGACGAAACAATAGCGGCACTCGACGGACTGCGATTCTCGTTTTTCACGAGGTTCTGCTTCACGCTAGGCTACGTATCAGTGCACGCACCCGTCCTAACTACGCGTGTAATTACGCGAACTTAACGCTAAATCGGCCGTTGACCCGGCAAACTTTCATGGAATTATTTGAATAACAAACCATGAACCCGCCTTAACCGTCAACGAATTCTGTCGCGGAAAATCCCAACTTTCGACCCTTCCATTTTCCATTCAACCGTGCTCGAATGGGAGGAAACGTGTTATTTTAAGAAATAAAACTAGAGTCGTCGCTTACATCGCTTTTACACCGGATACGACGATTCGGTTCATCCGAAAAGATCGGCACTCGTGGCTAACGAAGTCATTCCGACTCACGAGTCTAGAAGGCTCCGGGAGAGATGAACGTGGCAATCGGAGGGAATCTTCGCGTTTCACGGGAAAATCGTCTTCGTCTCGTCCCAGAGGCCGCATTGGTCGTTCGGACGCGTCGAGAATTCGCTTTCCGCGAGACGAAACAAACGGACTATAGATTCTTTTTAGAGCCCGTTTTATCTGTGTTTTACGACGGCAGTTCGGCGAATGACCAATCGCGAAATCTCGTGGGACGTGAAACGCGGGAACGGAGCGATGGTAACTGTATCGCTGAATCTGAGACGAGACAGAAAATAGACCTGGGCACAGGTTGTATTCGTTCCGTTTCAAGTTCACGAACCGCCAGAATCCTATTATCATTTTCATGTCACGGGCAACGTTTCCTAGAACTCCGAAATTTCTGTTGCTAACCCAACAGTGTAAAATCCATCACATAGGGGATTTAATGCAATGTTCACCATTTCTACATATCGAGACTTGTTTCAAGTCCATTCGATAGTTCGAAGATAGCGGTTGTTTCTCGTCGAATCCTTACCGAATGATTTCCAAAGTTACAAAATTTCGGAGTTAAAATTCGGAAAGTATGACTTAATACACCTTAGATCTAGGGTCCAGATACGTAAGTACTTTGTCACTGAAATCTCCGTCAGTTATCGATCGAAGATTACTCGCAAAGAAATCGAAAGTCGATCGTTGCTTATCCAACCCGGGCATTCTGGTTAACTTCTGAACCATCAAGGGCCGTCAATGGACTCCACTGCGCGGGGCCCTTTCCGTTTTACCGTTCCAACGTAACCGTCAGGAGGGGGAGGACTATTTAGGTTTCGTGGTCGCGAACGAGGACCAATTGAGTACAAGGACGGAATAGCTAAATCGTCGTCGTGAAAATGATTACGACGAGCGTCGAGGTTGCGCGCAACTCGCCCAAATGGAATTTCAATGGGGGAACAGCTCCCACTCCCGACCAACGGTCGCCGTTGGTCTATCCACGAACAGAGGTCGACGTGTCGAACGTTTATCACGCGACAAATTTCAGCGTTATCTCGATATTTTCTTTCTTTTCAGCTTCCTTTCGTTAACTTCCTAAACGTTTCCAGCGAACCGGTATCAAAAAAAAAAAAAAAAATTCGTTAAAAATCAACCGAAAATCCAACGAATTCAAAGTCAACGAAGAAGCGTTCCCTGTGAACCGGTGTTTAAACAAAAAAATACGTTAAAAATCAACCGAAAGTCCAACGAATTCTCGTGGTATCTCGGTTTGGACAACGGCCAAGGACGCGTTGCTCAAGTCGTCGAAGACCGAGAAGGGCCGAGGCGGCCGAGGTTGCTCGTTCACGATGCAACCCCGGGGACGAACAACGCCAAGAGGTTAATAATTATGCGCGATTACGCGATGTAAACTTTACAAAGTCCGTGCACGTATCCATCGTCGACGCCGCGATCGCATAGGTATAAAAGAGAGCTGGTCCGATGTTTCGAGCATCAATCGATTTTCAACGGGCTTCCAAGCTTGTCATCTACTCTCCAACGATACAACATGAAGTGCATCGCAGTGAGTAAACGCTTCAACACATTTACCGTGCAAACTGAATCTCCATAGAACGTGGCGACACGCTTTGTGTCCTGTACTCTGCTCGAAAACAAAAACTTAGTTCAGCGTACCACCGAAATTTTCGATATATTCCAAAATAAAATTGCTTGTCGCGTTTCTTCTCTATAAACGATTATTTAACGCTAAATCTACCGCAACTACTTCTTAAAGGTTTCGGTAGGTCTGGTATTAACACACGGAACGATCAACGCCAAGTTTCAGTTCCAAATAAATCGAGACCATCGGAAATTCTTTTCCAATCGAAAGTCTAACCAGTCGCAGATATATACCTTAACATTTGGTGAAATCGACAAAACTCTTAACAATTTTTCCGGTATGTTCGTTAGGCCGTCGTTTTGCTCGCCCTTGTCGGCGTAGCTCTGGCGAAACCCCTCGAGACCGAGTCGATCGAGCCGGCGAAGACGGAATCGCTGGCGGTGGAAGCTGAAAATGCGGCGAGGAACAAACGAGGGTTGCTGTTGGGTGCCGCGTACACCGCCCCCGTAGCCTACAGCGCCTACACAGCCCCTGTCGCCTATACCGCCGCAGCCGCCTACAGTTATCCCTACGCAGCCTACTCCAGCTACCCGTATTACGCCGGAGCTTACTCCTCGCCCTACTACGTTCTGTAAACCTGTCTACATCGACTGGCATCCCCCACCATCTTTATCAACGACCGGACAACCCACCTAAGCACCGACGACTGCCACCGATCTCGACCGAGCTCCGCCGCGAGCTCTACAAAATTCGAGATCGTGATGCACGATTGCAACACCACCGGAAGGATGCTCGCACCGTTTCTTATACAATCAAACACGACACCACCATAATTCTCTACCACGGTGATTGTAATAATCTGTCGCGTGAAACGCTACCAGCATTCTTCTGTGCTTTACTAACAATTAGACTGTAGGTATACGTACGCGTATGTATTCGATATTATGTATAAAAGAACCAAGAATAAAATTTCTTTGCACAATTCGTACACAACAGCTTCTGTCTCTGATCCCGTTTATCACATTTGCGAAACAATTTTTTTTATCGGGTCTGCCCAGTCTTTCGAACACCCGAGTTTCGAGGATTTTGTAATTACGATTTTCTTTTTCTGTTTTGTGTTTTCCAGTTAGGGGATGTTTGTCGAATTTGGATCTTCGCTTAAGTTGGGCTATTACTGTAATTTGTCATGTGTAAGCAATTTGCTGTGTATGATAGTGGTGATTCTATTAAATAACTTATTATATAAGAAACGAAGATTTTCTATCATACGGCATAAATTGCTTACACATGACAAGTTACATTATCCGACCTGGACGATGGTCAAAATTCGACAATCTTCCCCTGTATGTTACCCTAATTTTTATTATTTGTTCGATTTCTATTTTATATTAACGTATTTACATTTCTTTTTCTCTTCTATTCTAATAGGAATTATCCCGTGAGTTAAATAAACAAATAAACAGTTTACAATTCCTCGAATACCACGTCGCGTATCCAGCGAGACCTAATCGCGTCTTCTATTACAACGCCGCTGATTAGGATGTTGCTTCCAGGCTCGATCGGTTCGTCGTAACTCGACAGGAAGCAAACAGTAAACTGTTCATACATAATTTCTAATCGTCGTCCTCGAAATTCGAAAAACGGAAATATGCTACTCCATTGTCCTCACCTTCGCTACCACTTCCACCCCCACCCCCAGGACAATACTTCGCCCCCGTCGAAACCTGGAGAACAATTCACCGACAGCTTCCACCTCTTTTGTATTTTCTTCTGTGTCTGAACAGGCGTTGAAACATAGTTCTTGGATACCATTTCACTTTTCGCTTAGCATCACGGCGTGTATTCGGCAGCGAGAGCCGCTTGTCGACGCCACAGTGGAACACTTGTTTCGCGTATCGTTTGAAAACCGTTCCAGCTTCGCTAGGCCTCGCGTACTCGCTGAATGGAACACATCGAAAGCTTCAAAAGCCTAGACGGCCCAAGAACAGAAAGTACATACACCAGATACCAACGGGATGGCTCTCTGGTTTCTTGGAGAGTGGAAACGTGTGGCTGAAGTAAGGCGAACGAAAGTCACGGATACGCAAAGTGGGGTGATGGTGCGTTTCACTGAAACGCCCGTCGACACCGAATGGTAGTCTTGGATCTCGAAATAGGTCCTACATCGGGTTCTGGCAAAACTTTTAATTGCCGCTGTTGGTCGGATCCCGCGTTAATTAAGCCGAGAGTCGAGAGTTACGGTCGGCCGCGTTAAATTGCGTTTCAAGATTATTTCGAATTTCCTCGATGTTCACCCTTCGAGCCGGGAAAGGACCTCTGCGGTTTTCGGTTTCCCATCCGGACGACAAATCAACCGTGCCCACTGGTAACACGCGGCGCCCGTTACGGAACCGGTTAGTCGCGTTCACGGTTAAATTAACTCGACGAATGATTTAGCATTGCAAACTGTTTATTGTGATCGGCTTCGCATCGTTGAAATAACAAAAATGAAAGAAATGCGTCGCGTAAATACACTTCTTTTCATCTCACTCCAGTCGTGCAATCTTTTTTTTACATCGAATAAATAAATAAATTCGATAAATTGAACTTAACCCTTTGGCTTTATAACATCGAGTCAGACACGTGATGACGATTTCAAACTGAAATTCTGCGAATTGTGTTCTGTGAAATTGTTTCAAGTTAAATTCTGTTTTATTGGTATTAACATTTAAGATTTAGAGTAAATAATACACTTGAGCTAAGAATAAAATTCCTTTTGTATCTAGGAAATTATTAACGATAAAGTAATGCTTAAAAGTACAGCCGTCAACAAAATCGTAAGGCAAGAGTTTAATTGAGAACTGAAGAAAAATATCAGATTTTTATAATATAGATATCTGTATCGATCGCCATATTTTACATGCTAAGGAAAACACCCGAAGAACGGCAACTCCAGGGATTCCGATTGTGCAGCAAGAGCCAAATCGATCCGCGACACAAGACGTTTCTCCTTCGGTTCTGAATGATATCTGTGTGTACGTATGTTGTCCGTCCATCCGGTTGGCGCTCGATGACACTCGATTTCCCAGCGTTACTTCGTCCCCGCCAGTCCAAACGATACATTTTCGAGCGGTTGACATTAGAAGCCGTTCTATCGAGAAATACGTCACGTACACCTTGTCGCGATTGCGCCCGCGATCAACCCCGGAAATAACAAAGCTTTCTATTTCCCAAGCATCTTCGACGTTTCCTCGATTATTAGAACCACCCTGTGCATAAGACTCCATTCTCCGATGCACTTGCACGATATTTTCGACGCACTGAAGAACTACCTTCCTTCTGTTATCCTTATCAATCTCCGTGATCCTTATTGCACGTAATTACCGAAAAGCTTGCAACGAAATTCTGAAGCCAATAATATTTTTCCCAGGCGCGTATGACCATTAATTTATGAAATATTTAATGTTCAGTCCCAAGGAGCCTTCGAACACTCAGGATTTACTGTACACAGGTGTATACGAACCGGAAAAAAAAGAGTAGGTACGTTAAAGGAAATAGACGGAGGGAGGGGGGAATAAATAACAAGCATTCTCTCTGTGTGATTTTCTCTCGAAGGGACAGCGCAATTAATTTCGTTCGAAGCAGACGGTCGCGGCGATAACGGGCGGAACGAAATTCGGCCGGTATAACGAAGGGTGGGTCCGTCCGTACGAATCCTGTGGGTGCGCGTCCGCAAACAAAAGCCGGTTTAACGCGATTGTCCTCGGGGATACACAGAGGTCGAGTTCGACCAAGCTCGGGACCGATCTTCGATGCCGAGTAATTAATCGAATGAGCTTGGCCCGATGGAATCCAATTCGACGTCTACTTGACGTTGCTCCTTCCTTCCTTCCTTCCTTCCATCCACCCCGACCCTGTTTCGCGTTCCGGTGCTACGCCAACCCTCGTCGGAACCATCCTCCCACCCTTCTTTTCGCACGAACCATCGACTAACTAACCTTCGACCGAATTTACTGTACAATTACCCGTTTGGATAAACGATTGCCCAAGCAGTCGCCGAAATACACCACTCGTCGCGACAAAGAAACACGGTGGTTGTATTGAGCCTTGCTCGTCAATTCTAAATAAATAATAATAATATATAATTCAATAATGTACATAATAGCTTATCATGAAAATCTTACCACGTCATAAGTATTGTAATTATTCATTGTACTGGGCCTTGCCCGTCAATTCTAAATAAATAATAAGTAATAATAATTATTCCGTCTGCGCGCATAATAAGAGACGCACGCACGCGCACACACACCGCTAAGTTCCGCACGTCCCTGCCGATGCTCGATGAATATTCATTGGCCGAAATAGCAAGCGTGAGGCAAATTCATTGGAAGGGACACGCGACGTTACCGTTCTCCTACATTAATCGACGCTGCCTTAATTCTTCCGTTCGTCTCCGCGACACTTTCGTGAATTACCGCGCTCTAATTTCCTCGACGAAGGTTTATAGGAACAAGGAGATCCCTCGATTTCATCTTCTCGCGACGAATAACGATACCACTTCAACTCCCTTTCTTCGAACTGAATGTGCACAATGTACAGGGCTCGTAAACCGTTGAATATTGTTCGAGAATACACGAGATTCGTTTTTTTCTAATTCACTTTTTCTTTCTGTTACGTAATCACTCTTCTAGCCGGTTACAAAGCGTAAAAAGCATCGCGATTGTTCGAAAAGAGCGAAAGAGTCTCGTCGGTGACACGGAAAACTGGTGAAAAGAGATTTTACCGGGAGTCTTTGTGGAAAATTAATCGAAAAACAAAACGAGCGTCACGCGTCTACGTCGACCAATCGACTGACTGTATCCCATTTTCGTTCGTTCGTTAGCGATCGCTAATTATCGTGTTTGTATGGGAAGACAAAAACACGGTGGTGGTGCCTTCTATCAGAAATTTCTGTCGCAGTGCCGACTACGTGAAACGAATAACGCCGAAGATTTCCAACAATTCTCGACGATTCGTAATAATCGTAATACGAAATTACAGGACGAACACGCCAAAAGCATGCCGAACACTTTTGGCACTTCCGATATGTGTTCGAGACAGGGCACGGAAAAACCCAACTGCTGTGGTGACGCGACATATTCGGCCAGGAAGTGGGACAATAGTCCGAGTACATTTTACCGGAGAGATAAAGAAGAGCCTTTTAACCACCGATTTACCCAAAAACCTTCTGAAATGCATTCCGTTCTCGACAACCGGTCGCCCCCTGGTTCACGTTCTTTCCGTTGCTTAATTTCAACCGCTCTAAATCGCGGATCGTATCGACGCGATTTATTGCCACAATTTATTGCGATTTCAATCGTCCCCTCTATATTCTATCTCCCACCATTCGCTATTTTCTCTCCCTAACACTCGATACTTTTCCTAGCGAAACGACACAGGGCAATGAATTGCAAGGGGGGGGGGGGGGGGGGGGACGCAGCTGTGGTTCCTGTCGATACAGAAAGAAGCATCGTTTGATATAAACTAACGATACCTCGTTCGTCTTGCAAATGTATCCTCCATCAAACTATCAAGCTTCTCACCTGGGAATTACACACAGGGAACACGTAAACTGTCCCTCGCAACGAGCATACCATAGGGAGGCTAGCCAGGTGAGAATCGATTATTTCTTGCGTCGTTTTCTGTTCCGATTCGCAGAGAAAATGAACGATTTTAATTACCTTTTATACGGAGGGATATCATCGAAGAGTCGGTATGGTACACCGATACCCGAGCGACCACCGCGAGTCTGACAAACAAATCCAGTACAGTTACGTACCTGAAACAATACAAGTACGTTCCTCGG